GGCGCCGGCATGAACGTGTTAAAAAACAAGTACAGATTGTTAAAGCAATTTACAAAATATACAATAATTTAAAATGAAAGTTGGCTAAAGTACAAACTAAGGAGTAAGAACTAAAGAAATATAATATATATAGTTGTAAGTTAAAACTGGTCTCGAGGAGAGTAGTGGAAGGAACGAATTTTTGCGAATTCCATCTCTCGTGACACGACTTTTGCCTCGCCCTATCACGCCTCGAAACGAGTTGATATATCGTCCCTATCTGACCAAGTGGTTAGAGCTACCTCTCGAGATATTGTCCAACGTAGTGCAAGAGAAAGAACGGAACAATGACGAAGCAGAACAAGAAGAAGAAGAAGAAGAAGAAGAAGAAGAAGAAGAAGAAGAAGAAGAAGAAGAAGAAGAAGAAGAAAAAGAAGAGGAAGAACGTGCAAAGGAAGACAAAAAGTAAAAGAGACTATAAGGGCGATAATTAAGACGGACGCTGATTTCGCGATAGCTGGCTCGATCCTCACGACCGAGAGGAAGAAGGGCCCATACTCGCCCTCTTAAAGGACGGCAAGCATAACTGTATTCCCTTTATGTTTATAAACTATACTTATGTGTACACACACATACTTTAGAAGAAAATTCTTCTATTTTCCTTCTTTCTATACGTGACCCTTCCTCCTGCTACTCTTCTTCTTTTTCTTCTTTTCCTAGTTATCGTAGGTAAGTTAAAAGGGTGGAGGGGGACAAGGGTGTACCATCAACGACAACAACGACAAAGAAGACGAAGAAGAAGAAGAGGAGAAAGAGGAGGATGAGTGGAAAAAGGTTGAGGATGACTCTGGGAGGCTCTTTCGAACGGAGTAACGCAAAAGAGTAAAAGAACAAGAAAGAGGGAGAGAGAAAGAAAGAGATGAGAGGGGGAAGATTTATCGGCCTCTTACCGATACCAAGCCGTGCTCAAAATGCTGCAAAACACGGCTCATGGGCGTGTGCGTGGCGGTAACTCGTTCGCATACACACATACATATTTATATATATATATATATATATATATATATATATATATGNTATATATATATATATATATATATATATATATGTATACGTAGACGTAAGTAGAAGAGTTCGGATAACGAGGCGCTACCGCCACGGTAAATAGCCCCCGGTCATTTATTAGCTGAATTTATCTTGCCACGCGTCGAACAAAGGGATACGCCGTAGGAGGAAAGAGGTGGAAGATGAGAGAAAAGAAAAGGAGGGCCTACGTGGTTTTTTTTCTTTTTCTTTATCTTCTTCTTCTTCTTCGTTATTTCCTTCTTTCTCTTGCTACCCCCCACCACGAAGGAAAATACCACTCGATAAGAGACGACACCTGCGTGTGTAACCTGTCTTTCTCTCTCTCTTTCAGTTCTTATCGCAGGTAATCCGAAAAATGGAAGCCATCGGTTTGAAAGATACTTTCAACCCTTTATATTTTTTTTTTCAATGACTCTTTTCTGTTAGGAAGGGAGTGCATTCTATTCGTGTCTGAAGGAAAAAAGAGAAAGGGAAAGTTATTATACCTTTACCTATATCGTAACCTTCCAAAACCGTCTACGTGTATAACTATAGGTACCTATACTATATTATAGATATATCACGAACTGATATCCGGTGTTTCTGCGGTGAAAGGGCAACACGTTGCCATGAAAATGGTTCGCATTCTCTACCCACCAGAGATCCCGATACGTTCGGTTAACCAAAGACACGTTCTCGCTTGCTCGCACCTCGACATCGTTAAGCGGCAGGTGAGCCCCGGTGTAGCTAACAGTACCAAAACCACCCTCGAAAAGTGGTTTCCCGCGATTTGTCGCGTTTCTATGGCGAAGAGATACTCAACCTCCATTCCCCCATACTAAACGAATCTGACCTTCTACACCAGCATCTCTGATCCTTTATCTCTTTGGATATACTACCCTTCGTTAACATTTTTCTTCTTCCTTCATCGTTGTCATCGAATTTTCCTTTTTATTCTGTGAAAGAGAAAAAAGAAAAATCTTCTTCGTTAGAAAAAATAACAAGGGTTGGTTTTTTTTTATCCAACAATGAAAATCAATTTATCTTTAATTTGTACGATTTGATTTTTCCTATTTCTTTCGTTTTAATTTCGAATCGTTTTAAATTCCGTTCTAAAGTAACAATGACGTTTCGAATTAATTGTTAATCTATTGAAAAAGACAAATCTTTGTATTTCATTCTTTTTCTCTCTTTCTTTTTTTTTTTTTTTGATTCCTTCCTCACTTTTTTATCCTTCATTTGATCGCGATCGTGCGGAAAAATCGCATAGTGATCGGTCGATCGGTTCAGGTCCGACACTTCCTCGACAATTTATGACGTTTATCCGGATCACCGCGATGAGAATTCGTTTATCTCTCTCTCTCTTTCTCTATCTTTCATTCATTCTTTACATTCGTACAACGAGAAGGGATTATCAATTAAGAATAAAACTTAGAAATCGAATCGTGTCGTATTAAAATAAAAAAAAAACCATTCGAATGATACATATAAATGGTTTTATGTATTTTAACAACTATTTTCTACCTTTGACTGACATGAGAAAGAAAAAAAAATCAAAACGAATCTATTTGTTTAGTTTAGTTTAGTTAGGGTGTGAGGGTGTAAAAGTTGAAGGAAAATCGATCAGAAATAAGCAAGAAGAAAAGCATTTTTACTTGTTCGGTTCGTTCCTCGATGTTTGATCGCGGATGTATCGGCGAAGAAGGGCCGAAGGCACGCACGGTGGTCTCGCGGTGTGGTCCACGGCCCCGAGAAGACTCTGCTGATAGCATTCTCACACACTCTACCCCCTCCCTTTTCCTTTTCCTACCTTCCTTCTTTTCTCCTACTCCTTTTCTTTCCTCCTTCTTCTTTTTGTTTTTTTTTCTTGTTCTTGTTGTTCCACCACTCCTTGCAAAGGTACAGCATCCACGATAGAGAGAGAGAGAGAGAGCCCACGATTTTTCGCAAACTCTCGCTAGCTTCCCCGGACGTATAACGTACAATTACCCGAAGACCAGATTACACAGGGGGGGCATGGGAGAGGCTCTCTCCACGCTCGTTATGCCATCACAAAGCCTCGTCCACATTGGCCCACTTGAGAGAAAAGACCGGCTCGAAGACACGAGAGTCTAAGAGAGAAAGAGAGAGAGAGAGAGAGAGAGAGAGAGATACGATGATGATGTACCTGTGTGAGCAAAGAAGAAGAAGAAGAGAAAACCTGAAGAATCCTTATCGTTTCTCTTGGAATAAATCTCTCTTCTCTTTTCTCTCTCTCTCTCTCTCTCTCTCTTTCTCTCTCTCTCATTCTCTCACTCTTTTTCTTCTATGTAAGATGAAAAAAATAAAAAAGAATTCTTATACCGATTCTACTCGTTCAGGTCGATATTTTACGACTTTTTTTTTTATTATTTTTTTTTTTTAAATATCACAGATTATTTCTATACACAGTCTTTGGTTGTCTTCCTGACCTCTGTTATCGCGTGTTCATTAATTGCATCAACCGACTGAATTTGGATAAAAGAAAGTATTATACTTTATTTTGTTGCTTTTCTTGATCGTACAGGGTATTACTATACGAGTATAATATTTGTATTTGTATTTGTGTGTACAGATGTGTGTTAATTCGCCGTCACTTTTTCGAACAGGTGGATTAACGTCAAAAAAGGTTGAAGATTTAGATGGCCTCATTTTTGTTAGAGCTCGTATTTCAACGCGTGAGAGTGAAACTTTTATCGAGAACGTAATGTTCCATAATCTATAATCTTCGAGGAACTTATGCGAGGCACGAACAGCGAGAGAACGTTAGTATAAAGAGAGTCGTGAATAAGTATAGCTTATAGTACTATATACATTGTTATCCGTTGTGCCCGTCGTGTCTCGAAATGATTTATTTCTCTAACCAAAAGAAACCATCAACCTACGAAATATATGCATGTATGTATATATATATCTATATTCGTGCATATGATACCTTCCACAGTGCAAGTTACTCGAAAATCCCATAAAACTGTCTACTCTGAAATACACGCTGATTCAGAATGACAATGCATTAAAAAGATAAACGCGTGAGTACTTTACTGTCGCTTTTCTATTTTCTTCATAGAATAGTCTATTCTCATTCGGATACTTGATATTTCCCTATCGTTAGTTAAACAATATTAACTATTATTATTATTTTTATTTTAGGAGAAATTGTAATTTCTTTCATATATTCTTCTTTTATTACTAAATTAATTTATAATACATTTTAACCCTTTGACTGCAGCGTGTTCTCGAACCAATCCATTAATATGAACGCCTCGGTGCGATTTTCGCATGTCAGTCGCTGTAACTGTTTTTCCATTGACTAATGACCAAAACAGATAATAATGGCAAATAAAATAAAAATATGAATTTTTTTTAATTTTTTTTAAAGTAATTATTTAAGCTATTTTAATTTACTTGATTTATTTTGTGCATTACTTCAATAATAATCGGTAATTTAAATATTAAAGAAAAAAATACAAAATCTATAATGTAACACAGAGTATAATAACTTTAACAGAACATTTGAATAATTTTAAACCTAATTATAAAAATAATAAAATTAAAATAGACGAATTTCAAATATAAAAGCAATTAACTAAACGACATTGAAATAATTGCCAATATTTAGTTGCTATGTTACATGTCACAATAAATTCCATGTTAAATTAATTGGTAATACAGCAATAAAGGTGTTATAGTAAAAAAATACAGAAGGCGTATATTTACGCCTTTCGTGTATATTGATGGATTTGTGAGAGCGTGTATATATACGTCTTTAACAGTCAAAAGGTTAAACAATATTACCTATTATTATTATTTTTATTTTAGGAAAAATTGTAATTTCTTTTATAAATTCTTTTATTACTAAATTATTTCTAAGTTAATTTATAATACATTTTAATTATTATTATATTATTCATATAATCCACTTTGAAGGTGGATGACGAATATTTATTTGACAAAAAAAAAGAGATAAATAGGCGCAAGATTTAACGAAAAAAGTTCATCGCGACGAAGCTTTTTCTGAAGAGCTTTCGACGCTTTCTTTCTTTCATTCTTTCATTTCTTTCTTTCTTTTTCGTGTCGTCCGAATCCTGTGAAGTGACAGTTCACAACCTTCCTAGGTTTGTCAGCAGTCCACATTCATTCGTGTTAGCGTAAGTCATCATCGAAACACACTACTACTCTTCTTCCTTCCTATTTTCCTTTCCTTCGGATTCTTCCTTATTCCTTCTGTCAAGGACATCCTTGACATCTGCCGGCTTTCTACGATCTTATCCCACGTCTTTACACCTTCCTCCTTTTTTCATCTCGATCTTATCTTCTCAACCAAGAAACGTCACTCTTTCCTACCGATCTTTCCTTAGAAAGAAAAAAAGACAAAAAAAAAACGTGTCAATCGTCTACGACCTACTCTTCTATTCGTCTAATTCTTTTTTTTTATATTATTTTTTGTTTTCTACCAAATCCGTGACGAAAGCTTGGGTTATCGGATTTCAACCAAGTTTACTTACAACGTTTATCCTTCTTTCAATTTATTTTATAATCTCTTATTTCTTTTTTTATATTGTTATTTTAAAATATGTTGTAATCTACGAAACACAGTTATTGTTAGAATTATTTTTTTCAATTTTTCATCCCTTCAAAAATATACAAGATTAAACTTTAGACTGCGTGATCAGGAATAAAAAAAGGGATTGAATACTCGAAGGTCAACGATTAGTAAAAGTCACAAACTTGTTCAAACGATCCTCGTAAAAGGTTGAAACGTTTTCCTTGAACATCATTCTACAAGCAAGGTCAGTGGTTTCCTTTTTTCTCCCGGATATGAACACGATGCTATGGTCCTAAACAAGCAACAAATACCCTATTAGGTCTGCCACTTAAAGGGGTACTTTCATCTTTACCTCTTGTTATTGCTTTACGCGAAGTTTCAACTTTGAAAACGATCAGTTGAGTTGGTTCGATGGGGGTTAACCAGGTAAACTCCGATACCCCTAACCTTTTCAACTTTTTTTTCCTTTTCACTTTTCCAATCTTTGCTTTTTTGCCATTCGCCTTTTCTCTACCATGACAAATATTTATCTATTATAGAATAAATAAATTATACTTTTTATGGTCTCCCAATCGTAAATATTGTCTTTCGTTTCATTTTTTTTTTCAATTTTTTTTCTCATTTTTTTTGGTCAAAGTTTTTCTACAGGAATTTCCATTCTTCAAGTGGAAGAATTCGTAATAGTGTTTTGCTATTACGCCTTTTTTTTTGTTCTCCCATGGTGGTCAAGTCAAAGAATAAAATAATCTCAATTGTCAATAGAAACCCTTGTAAAGTTAGGATAGAGCAAGCACGTAATTCTAGACCTCCAACGTATCTTATTTACCTGGGACTTCGTGAAATATCCTTGAAATTCCGTTTAACCGGATGAACATTGGAAAAACTCTTTTGTTAACAATTTCGAATCGAGTTGATTTTCTTCCTCTTATTTTTCTTCTTTTGTATCATCGACTTACAACATACGTTATTTTTCCTTTTTACTCTTTTTCGTTTCATCTTCTCCTTTCCTGGTTGGCATTGATCAAATGAAAAAAGAGAAAAAGAGAAACCCCTTTTTTTTTCTTTTATTTTTCTTAATAAATTGATGGCTTTCATAAATTTACGTAAAACTGTGTTGGATGAATAGTTTTCAAGGTTACTTTTCTGAATGGAAAACATACGTAACAACGGGGTATCGATTTTTCACGGTCATCAATCGAAGATATTGTAAAACTATTGTGTACGTGTTGCATCTATAAAATGAAAAAGAGGAAAATTGAAAAAGGGGATAAAAAAGGAATCAAGGAAGGATGAGTCAGGAAAAGAAAATTTGACGGGTTAATCGAAATTACGAATTTTATGACTTCTTTCGCATGGAATATCAACTTTTCAAAATGCACATACATGTATATCACACACACATATATAACTTTTTTCTTAAAAGATAATTATTATAATCGGCAGTGCTCGTTATCGTGACGAAACGTGAAAGCGCTAAATTAAATTTAAATCCTTTACGGTATACGCGCCTTTCCAAAGAAAGATAAGAGAAAAAGAAAAAAGAGAAAGAAATAAGATTGAAGATGCACGGTTTAAAGTAGCAAACTCGAAAGAATTATATCGTGAAAGACTGGTGGTCCTTCGACCAAGATTGGACGATAATTACCACGTGGTGTAACGTGGTGTACCGTGCGAAAGATAAGTACTATTAATGCTGTGCCCTCAGAAAACGATTTTCAGTATCTCATTATATATATTTATATATGTATATATGTATATGTATTACGTGAGAATTTGCTATCTTTCTTTTTACATCTTTACAGTCAAATACATTTATTTTTATATATATATTATTATCATTATATTATATTATAAATACAATATAATAATTTTTATTATTTTAATATAATTTAATTAGTATTATATATTATAATAATATTATATAGTATAATTTAATTAATTTATATATATTATAATATAATTTTAATAGTAAATTAATTTAATATTCAAATTAATTT